TACGGGTGGACTTGGTCGAACCTACATTGGCCAGTCAGCGGTTGTACAATGTACAATGAGCAATGTTTTATCACCGGATAAAAGCAAGTGCTTGACACGTCCGTAGGATGGTTGGGGTGAATACGATGAAATCAAAATATATCTGGGTCATCTACCGAACGTCTGCTGAAATGAATACTTTGATAAATTACATCAGTGTAAAACTAAAAAAATCGAGCGTAAACGTTCAGAAATACACTGGGGTGCAGTGATCGTTGATACAAGGCGTGAGAAAAGTAAAATATGGTCGCTCACTTGGTTTCATTTAATACATAAATCCTGTTGAAAAGCATGCTTGGCGTAATCCACAATACAGGAGTTTAGGTAACGAAATGCTGGGAGCTAAAAGCAACATCTAATCGTTTTTTGCAAACATCCAAGCTAGGGGAGCATACAACTGAGTCTGGGAGTGCATTCCAGCGTTGGCGAACCCGAAGGGAAAAGTAATTCCGTCGACACTAGACGGCTATATTGTTCCTTCAATTTTAAGCAGTTACCCCTGAGCTGCGTGTTGTGGCTAAGATTCAGCAAATGGCGGCATACGTGGTTGGGGTCACTCAGTATCTGATACGCTAATATGAGATCATCGCGTAGCCTTCCATAGCGTCCGCTGAAAATTCCCAGCAACTAAGCGTGATAGCACAGGCCCTTTACATTCTTTGTTGCTCTTCGTTGTGGTGCTTCTAACGCCTCTAGGTCGCACTTCAACCAAGGTTGCCAAACTTGGATAGTGTATTGAACATGTGGGCACACGTAGGAATTGTGCATCATTGGGAAGGTTGATGGGTGAAATCTCCCGAATGCCTTTCGCAGCATCCCGACGTGCTGGCTGCTTCTTTTTGCAGCTACCTCAGCCTGTTTTGAACAGTTGAGGTCGCTCTGTACGACTACACCAAGGTCACGCTCCTGGGAGCTGGTCCGCAATCCGTTTGTCCCAAGTAAATAGGTGTAGTTATGTTTATGACGTACTTGTACAACGCGACATTTGTCTACGTTGTATGGTAGGGCGTTTTGAACTGACCAGTTCGACACTGTTTTAAGATCGCACTGGAGCCGTTCGTGGTCGTCCGGTCATCTGATCCTTCGCCATATCTTGATATCATCAGCGAAAAATGGGAAATCGGAAGCAATTGATCTCGCCAAATCGTTAACGAACACCAAGAATAGACGACATCCAAGCACCGAGCCTTGTGATACACCACATCCCACATCGATTGTATCGGACAATGATTCTCGGACTCTCACCGCTAGCCGTCATTCGTGTAGGAAATTGCTAATTCAACTCATGATTGGGTCGCTAATGCTGTAGTTCCGAAGTTTCTGAAGGAGAATTCGATGGTCTAAGCGATCAAACGTTTTGAAAAGTCCAGTTGGAGATGACATCGACTCCTGCTCCATCATCAACAGCTTCAGTCCAGCTATTACTTGCAAGTAAATGGTTGGTATTACACGAATGCTTTTGACGAAAGCCATGTTGCTCTGGGGCTATTAATTTGTGGCTTTACAGATACTGCAGCAGTGCATCTGCGATGATTGATTCCATCACTTTGGATAGTAAATGACATAGTGTTATTGGACGGTAATTGGTAGGGTCACTGCGGCTATCTCCTTTATATATAAGAGTGATGATCCCTCGTTTCCATAGTGGTGGAACATGGTTCACTTCTAGACACCGCTGATAGAAAACAGCCAGTGGTTCTGCTAGATCACTTGCTACTGCCTGCAGAGCCTTTGGTCGGATGTAGTCGACTCCAGGACAACTGTGGATATACAAGGATAACAACTTCTTCAACACAGCTTCCGCAGTGAAGTTGATGTTGTCTAAACCCGACGGTGGAGTAATAAAAACGAGCAGAACGTTTGGGCTCGTTACCTGCTGGAACGTTTGGGAGTTATGGAACCGTAGGAGATCGGCTGCTTCCACTGCTGATCGCGTGCATCCGTTAGCCGTGACTAGTGCTGGAATCCCCCACTTCACTTTTCGAAGGCCGTTAACGGGTCTGTACCGAAGTTTGCGGTTCGTGTAGAGTTGCTTCATTAACTCCTGCTGATGCGTGACCTTGTCTTCGCGGATCAGTTTCACACAGAAGTTACGATGTGTCACGTATGCAGTTCAGGTTTCGGTACTCGAGCAGTCCTGGTGATCGCGCCAAGCCAAATCCCTCCTCAGAAATGGCTTATGCTTGCTTTTGGGTTGGAATGACTTCTGTTCCGATGCGTGCGCTACCAGTGAGCTAAACGCCCCTGTAAAGGTTTCCCAGGCAACATCTGGGAGGAAATTGGTTAAGAAAGTTCAAGATGTATCCTTAACAAGCGTAGATAACACACTGTATTGTGTGACAGTATACACTTTATCAACCTCCTTTTCAGGATACTCCCCATGCCTTTTATAGTCAAAGAGCAGAGTAACATGATCACTACGACCCAGTAGTGGGCTTGTAACTATCGCGTCAACCATGAGTTCTTGGTTAGTGAGCATAAGATTCAGTTTGAAATCTGGGGAGAGAAATTACGTGGTTGTACAGAGGGCGGCTAGCAACTAGCTCTTGCAAGCAGGCTTTAAACTGCGTACCGTCGGTTGCTGGTATTTTTATGTCGTGCACCTTAAAGTCTCCCGCGATAAAAATGTGGGTGTGGGACTTGTTCAAAGCGAACTGAAAGATGTGGTTCAGTTTGGAGTCCATTTCCGACGTTGAGTTTGGTGGGCGGTAAATCAAGGCTAGTAGACATGTGTCCTTGTTTCGCAACCATAGACGGCACCAAAGCGAATCAGGAGCTCGGATTTCCTGGTGATCGATAACTTCACATCGGAGGTTTGTATTATAATAAGGAACCACACCACCACCCCTTCCGGTTCTATCGGTCCGAAGCAGCGACATACCGGGTAAATTGATCTCAGAACCGGTTATCTCAAGGTTTAACCAGGTCTCTGTAATCATGCCGAGGTCCCGCCGTTGAGGTATGAATTACTTTAAGTTCGACCAACTTACTTAGAGGGCCTTGGTCGTTTGTGTATATGCAAGATAGAGGTTTTGTTTTTAGGAATGCGTTGATGGATGTCAACTCTGTGTTAGTTTTTAAGCAGGTCGTTAGGTGGCCGGCCATTAATCGTTTTTTGGTTTATGAATTTCTGTCAAGTTGCATGACATTATTGAGCGTTCCTGAGCAGACGTTTTACTCGTGCTGTGCTCTGTCCTGTTGTGTGCCGTGGGTGCTGTTGTGTCGGTCTCTTCACAGGACTGTGCAGATAAAGAATTTGTTGCGTTTGTAAGTTCCATCGAATTGCTTACGACTTTTGACAGTTCGCCTGCTGCCTTTAGACGGATCTCTGTTGGCAACCTAGCTCGAAACTTTAACCAGCTATCCAGCGGAACTTGCGTCATTCCCTCGTCTTTCGTTAAGGACCTTTACTTACTATCATGCTGCGACCTAAAGTCCGTGGACAACGGAAGTAGGCTATACCAAAACAAACTTCGTATGCTTCTGGTTTTCATGCGCAGTTTCAGCAATTTGTCCGAAAAGATTGCCATTCGCCTCTTCATCTTGATCCTACGACAAATGCTGGAGTACGTCTCACCCACATACTGCCCTATCACGCGGGACGAGGTAAAAAGGATTGAGCGTGTACAGCATGTAGCTATCAGACTTCTCCTCTACTTATGAGGTATGTCGCACGAAAACCTATGCGGGGGACTATGGCTGTACACCCTAACTTATGGTCGATTGCGGGTTGATCTCATCATGACGCACCGGGTATTACATCTCGGTGATTACCCCATGTTGAAGTCACTGCTGCATATGCGCGAAGACACCCGTACAACCTTATAGTACCGGATTTGAAGCGGGTCATCCACCAACTCTGCTTCGAACGGTCCCATACAATGCCTCGGTGACTGACCTCAGGAGATGCTAATGGTTGCTTGCCGAGACGTGGTGAGCATTGTTTGTGGCTGTGCCAAACTGATTCTATGGCGTAGTGGGCTACTCTCCAACCCGCACACTATGGACCTATGAAACCCACTCCACCAGATTCCGAAATTCTGCGTCTGTGAAGCTCCCGTTAAACTTGTATGTGTGCTGTTTCCAAACGAATGTTTGACCTTTATCAGCGTGCTTTCATTTGTATTATGTCGAAGCACATTGTTATTTTGTGTGTGTGCTTGTGTGTGTGTGCAGATGGGGTGGTGAGTAGGGTGGCGTGTGGCCGCTCTGCGGCTGTTCGCTGCCCCGGTGACAGGTAAGTCAGGAAGCTGATGTTAGAACCAAACATCTAAGCTTGCGTGAATATCATTTTTCAGAGCGCAACACACTTTTATCCATTAGTAGCGGATTTTTGATGCGATTAATTGAGGGCTCGTCGAAGCAGCTTCCAAGTCCGATACTCTTCCATATGCCCGGCAAAGCGTAATATGGCTTCTAAATGCTAGACCGTACATAGCTACCGTCGGTGGAAATCGTGTCTTTGGAGGACAACCCTATCCTCTCTAACGTTTGTAACCTGCATGGAAGTGGATGATGGGTTGCACTATATTGCACTTAGCTTGCGTTTCTTGACTGTCTGTCCTGGTCTTCCATGGATCAGTGGCATGAACTATTGCTTAGTGGAGCAAGTCCCGATGGAATCGGGTGATAGTGTTAGGGTTAGAGCCAACCTAACCCAAGTAAAATCCAGGATCTAGAAAATCGATGCCAGATGGCGCCACGGAGTCTGTAGGAATCCATATTACTTTCTCCACCTCTTATGACCATAACAGATGCGCACAACCGTCGAGTTCCGATAGGATGAAACGGCCGTCTAACACCTCCTTGACTTGTAAGCTGCTCCAAAGAGTCTGCATATCTCATAGACTAGGCTTTGCTTGCTTTGACACCATCGACACCGACTAATATCCAACGCATTTAGTTTGTCCATTGCTCCGTCTATTTCTGCTATTGTTACCACCCTTGTTTTGGTTCCTCAGTTCGGAACGGCAATTACAACTTCATTGCAATGTTGCGCTGCATGATGCTATTAGCCGGTTCATGGATACAAAACTACGGGCGCTGAAGCACTTTTATTCCACCTTCGTAAAATGCCGAGACAGGTTAGAGCAACCAGATGGTGGCCGCTCAGCACAGCAGCAATTGGTGTGGGAGTTCGTCCACGACTTGTGCGAACAATGGATGGCGCATCCGCACAAACAACACGTCTGTTGTGTCCCGCAGAATGATCCGGAGTTTGGACAATTTCGCAGCATTTTGGATGGTTGTAAATCTCACATTGAACAACTGGTGATGGATAAAATTTATAAATCTGGCATTTGGATGAACGATGCTCAAATGGAGCGAGAAAAAGATCTGTAAGTTGTAAGGATTCGCTTCTAAAAGCTTGCTCTCTTAATGTGATTCATTACCTGTCTGTTAGGATTCCCTACTTGGTTTTGCCTATATCGCTGTCCCAATTAGCGTCTTTCGAAACTCGGTTGCTTGTCTTTTCACTTCACTCTGTAGTTCATAATTGGAGATGTTCCAGGAAATTTGCCTGCTTATTTCTTGCGAGCACTAACTTCCGACACAGCACCCGCCGGAGGGTGACTTGGCGTCCACCAGCCTCGAACCAGCCTTGGACGTAAATCGTTCACATTGCAGTCAGTTACCGCTGGAGAGTCTGCATCCAGAACTGTCGCTCGATTTGGAGCACAGGTATGGACACCGACCATGCAGTTGTATGTGCTGACCTGCGGATGCGTTTTGGGCGGACGCCCACGACGACGTGAGAGCATTGACACAGCGCATTGACAAAGCCAGCTGTTCTGAATGCCTATCAAAGTACGCTGACATGCGAGTTGAGTAAACTCTCACTGGAGACAAATGAAGGTCACTAGTCGCATGTTCACCAGACCTTACTACCAGCAGGTAAATCCTTATGCGATATGCCTAATAACCAACATGAACATTGGGTCTCTTCGCAGTCTCTGGAACTTATCGATGTTCGCCGGCATATTCCGGTTGGAAGCGAACACAAAGAAACTCGCAAAGAGCTCCGGGCAAAACTCCGTGCTAGCCTGAAGAGAGATCGCGAATCTGAGTAGTCTTTTCGTGCGTCAGAGATGGAAATGGCCGCTGCCCTTGGTAACCATCTGGCTGATACGGGAAACGGGCAGCAGGAGACCTGGTGTTAGTGAAACTATACGTGACGAAAGTGGACAGACTATACAAAATTTGTCAAAACGTTTAGAGCGTTGGGCTGAGCATTTTGAAAAGCAATTAGTCGGCCGGAACTGTTCGATTCCTCACCGGCCAGTGATCGCCATCCTCCGTGGGCTGTCCCTTTGGATCCGCCCTCGCGCTCAGAAGTCAAACATGAGATAGGACGGTTGAAGTTGAACAAAGCCGCGGGACCAGATGATCTTCTTCCAGCCCTCTTCAGATTCTGGGACCCTGCTCTTGTTGATGATTTACTTGAATTACTGGTAAAACTGTGAGAGAAGGAAAGTGTCCAAACCGACCGGAGCCGCTCTGTTATCGTTCCCATCTTCAAAGGAGGCTGGCGTTCGGAATGCCGTAATCATAGAGGAATCAGTTTGATCCCCATCACCTCTAACATGCCTGCATCTGTAATCCTTCAGAGACTGACTGGCGCTCGTTAAAGCCATATCCGTGAAAAACAAGCCGGGTTTCGTCTGGGTCGTGGCTGCATTGACCATATCTTCACCTTGTGTCAGTTGTTGGTTCACCGTCACAAATATTGGCGGCCCACCATAGTCGTGTTCGTCAAAATCAAAGGTGCCTTCGATTCGGTCGATCGATGTGCCCTTTGGAACTGTCTACTCAGGAAATGTGTGCCCGAAAAATATGAAATATTATCCGAGCATTATACACGCGCAGCTCAGGCAGAGTGAGTGTTTACGGCAAGCTGTCGCCGCCCTTCAATATGTCCAGCGGTGTGAGACAAGGATGCCCGCTGTCACATTTCCTCTTCAACTTCGCTACTGCCGAAATCATTGAGGTTGCATTTACAGGCCCTGACTTAGAAGGTATGGAGCTACTCCCAGGAGAACGACTTCTTGACTTGGAGTGTGCGGACGATATTGTCCCCATCTGTGACAGCTCCAAAGGTGCCAAGCCGCACTGGACAGCCGCTTCGGGCTTTGCTTTGCACCATTGAAGTGCAAAGCTTTCCTCCAAGATTGGCCTGGATCGCCTCCTTCGTTGACTCTTGGTGGGGATCAGCTAGAAGTCGTACAAAAACTCAACTACCTGGGAAGTTGTATCAGCGCCCGTGGGATTGAAGATGAGTTCACGAACCGTATAGAGAAAGCTTGAAGTACTTTTGCTCGTCTTCGCCACATATGGCGACGGCGCGACGTCACTCTCTTCCTGAAGGGTAGAGTGTACGATGCAGCGGTACGTTCGACCAAACTGCACGATTGCGACACCTGGTCCCTTAGATCAGCAGACATAAAGTGGCTAGTTACGTTCGACCACCGGTTCCTTCGCAGTTTGACTGATATCTGGTGGGTACACCATGTGAGAAATGAGCGTGTTCGACACCTTATTTATGGGGTAGGAAGAAGAGGCGAACCGCTCAGCACCATTATTTCACGCACCAAGTTCGGATATGTTGCGCATGCCAACCCACCGACTTCCGCGACGTACGTTGTTTGCGCGCCGGGGGTGTGGATGGAAGAAACGAAGACATAGCCAAGCGATGACTTGCTCAAGAAGAATGAAGGCTCTTACTTAGAAATTGGCCTCAACTGGAGTGTCTCGGCTCCCTGGTTGTGGTCCGAAAGACGATGAACACGTTTGGTTGGACACACTTGCTGATACGGCTAGGAGCCGACCTCAGTGGCGTTTGCGTTGAGTTTCTTTGTCCCTCCCCATCGCTTTTAGCTTATGCCTCCAACCTCGATCTCAGTTCGTAACGTGTTATAATTTTACATAATAATTTTTCTCGTTGCCTATTAGCCGGCTCGTAGCTTTCCGGACCGACGCCCATCCGTTGCTGGTAGCTCAGCTAGCATGCAACTGTTGTATTTATTATCTTTTTTCTTTTATGTATTGCGGCACAGTATCTGAGGTGTTTCCCACCTCTAGCCCACGTGTATCATGATGATTATGATTTGCCCAGTTTACACGGGACTACAGCGGCCATTGGCTGCGCTAATCAGCTTCTTTTCCATCACCCACAATCCGAGAGGGGGTGTTCATCCGGAAGCTGCCTTCACACCCTTCCTTTAATACCCACAGACCCAGGTGCTTTGGGTTGAAGAAAAACAACAGTCACGCTATTGATAATACTGATAAGATTAATAAACTGGAGTGAAGGGAGAGGTAAAAACGCATATCTGCAACCAGAATTTGAGAAGAATGACGGTTGACTGGTAAAAACAGCGGATTGGATACAACAACCGCATTCTCAAAGTCATTATTTCCTTAAGTTTTGCTTTCACTCACCTCTCCAGTGTAAGTTATTTGGTCAATTTCTTCACGCTTTTTAGCCACGCGATCTGCTGTTTATCTCGGTAGTTCATCCAACCAGACGAAAAATGCACTCCCGCTTCAATAACATTGTTACCGTAGGCTTCAGGATTGCTCCCACCAGTTTGAGTACTCAGCGTACAGCGGGGGCCTGCGATCACTGTGCTCCTTATCTTTCAGTGTGAGGTGGGCACATTTCTGATTTGTACACCAATACTGGTTGTATTGCGGTGCTTTGCACCCTGGTGAATTGTTGTCCTGTCTTCATAGACGACTGAGCTTGAAAACCCTTATGAACTTTGCCGTCGCCTGCAGTAGCCTCCTCATTGATAGTAAAACCAGAGATTGTGCAACTACCATTATAAATGCACTAAGCACTTCGACTGGCTATTCGGAAATAACTAGAACCGTCTGGATGTCGACCCCAATAAAACTTCATCTCAACCTTCCGTATTCTATACTCTTATCACGTAAACGAATGATTTACTGAAGTCAGGAGACTATCGTTCTGTCTTTCGATTTAAGTCCTAATGGGTGTCTCGTTATTTGGTCTTATTGTTTATCCTCACTTGCGTATTATCGCACTGGACGTATTGTTCACCTGCGATTTCCCCTGGACCTTTAAATGTACAGTTCAAATTGATCAACTGGTCACTGAAGCATCTTGCTCGATGTAGGCGGCATTCCAACGGTGGAGCTTACTGACATCATTGTAGTCAATCACTTTCACTCCTGCGAAAAACTGGTATCAAAAGTACTCGTTGATGCCAGTCACCCCCTCTACTGAGCACTGTAATGTCTCGATTTCCTAGACCAGACAAATGCACAAAGCCGTTTATAGATGCGCACGGCCTTATGATACGTCAGCAGTTCGAGAGATCGAGGGAACGAAATTTAGTTAAAAAGAAACCGATGGCTAGACCGCTTGAATGATATCACTTTTGTCACGTTTTCAACTTTCTGACACACCATGTCCTTTTGCCATAATTTTCGTTAATTTCATCTATGTCATTGGCGTGGGCTTTGTAGTTGAATATTCATTCTTCATGGGTGCATAAAGCGTATTGTTGACTTGCTTGACTTGACTCCCATTCGGATCACGTTCGTGCTAGTCGGGAACTGATCAAACGAGTCATCACTCGAGTTGAGATTCCAGTGTATGAACATGCACTGACTGAGTTAGTTTGCGCTACCATGTTCTGATTGATTTGGTCCGCTGTCGCATGTGCGCAGCATAATCACACGCTGTGTTTTGTCCGTTCCGTTGTTGTTATGACTAGGTGTTTTCTGCCAGACAAGCGGCAGTGACATACTGGCTTGTTATCAGTCCGTATCAGCAGGACAACACCATTGTCTTACAACTGAGAAAGGTGGCGTCGAACCGTTCGATTCGGACTGTCGGTTGCGCCGCAAACAACCCTCACTGTAATGTTTAAAATCAAGGATAGCGTTGAGACAGAATGGATGGAATTAAAAAACACATCATCTATCTGAAGGATGGACAGATAAGGACAACAGAAAACAGCGGAAAATTTTCACTCACCTCAGCTACTCCCTTTGCATTATTTTGGACAGTATACGGAGCAAGAGACTGCAAAATCTATGAACTGGAACCTCAGCTTCCAGCAGACCAGGTGCCTATTGTGATGGCTCTCAATGTGCATTAAAGAGTGAAATGGAAGTCGCTTGTGTGTGCAGTACAAACTCTCCCAGTAACTATTGGGTTAGTACCGGTTCGATTAGCCTTATTAAAACGCGGAAGATGGCCCAACCCGGTAATCAGTCACATTGTTCACAACGCTGGAGCAACTACGAACTAGAAGCCTCGGAGTTGACCGGATACCGGTTACTGACGAGAGCTCTTGGAACCGAGAAG